GCTTAGGCCTTAGCAGGGCCGGAGCCCGCCACTTTCTAAAGCCACACACTTGATTTTCGGACAGACCTGATCCTTTTTTCTCCAGAAAGTTTTTCTACCTAGTGAGCCCTAAAAGCTACCTGCTGTCACTGTCCCCGCCAGCCTGCTGTGGCCTCCCTGGAAGTACAGGCTAGGGACGCAGACTCACCCAGGTGAGGACCTCGGCTGGCTCGGCCGGGACACTTCCCTGTGCTGGTCTCCACTGCTCATATTAGTACCGTTTCCAGTGCCTGGACTCCAGTCCTGGTATGGAAATCAACATGGGCAGCGTGGGGCTCTGTGCGGCCCCCTGAGCTGGGCCTGGCACTTGCCCCTCCTAGGTCTTGGAGGTCCCTTTGCTCTGGGTCTCAAGCTTTCCCACTGGTGTCCCCACTCAGAAGGACACGCTGGCGATGGCTTTTGGGACAGTGCTGTCTCTGAATGTCACCATCCGAAACGAGGCAGAATAATTTTGAGCAGAGCCTTTAGCTGACATGCCGTCTAGCTGCCTGGCTTCAGGCGGCGTGGTTTGCGGAAGGCGCCTTGCTGTCCGCCGGGCTGGCTCCCAGGGCCCATTCGCGCACCGATTCATCCATTCAGCAGCTGTCTCCCGAGCGTCAGAGGCCAGGGACGGAGGTGCAGCCCAGTGTCCACACCGTACACGACACTGTGCCTTGGAGGTGTGTTTAGGGGACCCCTCAGAGGCTCTGAGGGCTCTGAGCTCATCCTGGTTGCTGTGAGCCTTGGATCTTGCAGTGTTTGGGGACAGCAGAGCCCTGTGCCACGCATGGCAGCAGGCACTTGGGATGGGTGGGCGATTTCACCCCCTTCCATTTCATTCTTCTGGGTCTGCTTGTCTTTGGTGAGACTAGGGTTGGATGCGGGGCCCTCTGCCCCTGAGCCACGTCCTCAGCCTTTTCCTCCTTTCATTGTGAGACAGGGTCTCGCTGTGTGGCCCGGGAGGGAACTGGCTCTCTTCTTTTTCTTTTTTCTTTTTTAACTGGTTCTGCTTTTCGAGGCATATGGATAAGGAGCTAATTGTAGGCGCCTTTTCAGTTCGCTTGACTCCACGCTCTTTCCCTTCTCGTTACCCCCTTTGTGACTAACCCCCCCAGGGAGATGACAGCCATCCTCCCTGCCTTTGCTGGCTCCTCCCCCTCACAGTGATTGCTCACCCTGTACCCCAGGATCCCGTCTGGGGTGGGAATCTCATCTTCGCAGGCCTGGGGAGGAGCAGGACACCTCAACCTGGAGCCCCGGGCAGGGCCGAGTCCCTGGCCCGAGTGTGTGGGTTGGGGTCTGCTGGGGCCCAGGCCCTTGGGACACTGCTGTGGTTCCCGGTGTCTGAGGTCCGGTGCCCCCAGCCCCGCCAGCCAGTTCCTGGAGCCCTGTCTCACTCATCCCCACTGTGCCGTGTGGATGCCACCCTGTATTCTAGACTCTGGATAGACGTCTCCTCAATGCTCATTGTCAGCCACGCCGGGCCCGGGCCTAGGGGGCTCCGGTCAGCAGCCTGGGGTTTGCTCATGGCATTAGGGACAGCCCTCGCTGCCCCAGCTCAAGTGAGGAGCCTTGTCCAGCTGTCGTCACCACTCAGTTTCTATGAGGAGAGCAACCTCAAGGACTCAACCTGTGGCCTATCCCCTTGCAAACCCGCTCCAGTAGCACCCACTCTGCAGCCACGGCCATGGCAGGAGGCCCCGCTCTGTGGCCCTGTGCCCCCTGGGGAGTGTGGGTGTGCTATCCTGCCCAGCCTGTCCCCTGTCGTTCTTCTGGGCCGCCTCATTCCTCTTTCCTTTTCTGTTCACTCCCAAACCTCAGATCCCCACAAACCCCAAAGCAAGCTGGTACTGAGCTCAGCTGGTGTCCACCCCCTAAGCCCGTGTCCTGGTCCATCTGTTCTGGGTCCCTCTACCTCACAGAGAGGGCGCATCGCCTGCTCGCCAAGGCCGCCCAGCACGGCAGTGGGCCGGGCCCTCACGTTTCTCAGGCAGTATGGGAGCACGTGTGTGCGAGAGCAGGCATGGGCCCTTGTGCCGGGAGGAGCCGTGCTGGATCCCACAGCGCTGGCCTCACCTCTCTGCAGTGACTGCATGTGACGCACGCATGGCCCCTCACAGCTAAGCCTGTGTGGCTTGGGGCCCGTCCTGAATTCGAGACCTGGGCCTCCGAGCGACAGGCACCTGCTCTGTGAAGTTGGGCGGGCTGCCACCACCTCATCCCACCACACCGCTGTGTGGGACCTTCTTGGCTTCTGGGGGAAAAGCAGCGAAAAGAACACCATTTTATAAACCAAGAACTCTGAATCTTAAAAATAGTTTTTGTTATGGGAATGATCAGTCACAAAATTGGGGAGAAGAGGGTGGTGAGCCCCCAACATCCGAGCCCCAGCTTCAGTCACCGCTGACACCCTTGGCTCCAGCCGTTACTGCCCCACCTCTTACCCTGGGAGGGTTTCAAAGCCAACTGGCTGTCGTATCTAAGGACAGGTAGCTTGCTTTCTTTTTTCATTTGTCCAGGCTGGCCTTGAACTCATTATGTAGTCCAGGCTGGCTTTGGACTTGTGACGATTCTCCTGCCTCAGCCTCCTGAGTGCTGGGATTACAGACATGCTTCACCACGCCTGGCTCAAGATAGCTTTGTTCTCCAGGTCCACGATGGCATTGTCACAGCATCCCGGGTAGGTTTTGTAAGTCCTTAGTGTCAGCTGCTGGGTTTTCTGGGTTCCCCACTTGCTTAGACTGGATCTCAGTTGGAGTTGGGGTCCCACTGAGACCTGTGCTGTGTTTGGTCACTGTCTCTTGAGATGGAGGAGCCTCATGGCATGGGGAACCATGCAGGTGCTGAGCAGCAGAAGAGCCTGCGTGACTGCTTGCCCATGGCCCCCACCAGCCCTGTCACCTTCTGACGTTGCCTGCCGGCCCTGCAGACACCTGAACAGGCAGCTTCTGCCCCAACAGCACTCATTCTGCATGAGCCGGACTTTCCTGGGTGGGGCTGAAACTGGTCTTGGGGCCTCTGGATTTGTGGAAATCATTCTGTGCCCCTGCTGAAGGCACAGTGGCTTCCTGACGTTTCTGAGAGCTCCTGGTTGGTCAGCATCACTGTGATGCTTTTGTGGGTCAGAAATGGTTGAATAGAGCTGGGTGTGGTGGCCAGTAATCCCAGCTCTCGGGAGGCTGAGGCAAGATGATTGCTATGAGTTTGAGGCCAGCCTGGGCTACATAATGAGTTCAAGGCCAGCCTGAACTACATAGCAAGAAAATGTCAAAAAAAAAAAAAAAAGAAAAAGGAAAAAAAATGGTTGCATAGGAGCAGTTTCATGTAGTTCACCTTAATAAAAGGAACAGATGAAATTTTTTTAAATGAACTAAAAACAGGGCATGGTGACACATGCCTGTGGTTCCAGCATTCTGGGAGGCTCAGACAGGGAGATTGCAAGTTCAAGGCCTGCCTGGGCCACTTGGCAACTTAGTGAGAGCCTGCCTCTAAATGAAGGGGAGGGGTGGCTCAGTGAGAAGGCACTGGGTTCAGTTCCCAGGACTGCAAAGGAAAATGTATAGGGGCAAGAATTAGGGGCGAGGGACTTGTGTGTGGCGATCTGTAGGTAAAGGGGGTGCGGTGGAAGCTGCCACTCTCGCCCTGAGGCTTTTGGGCTCCATGCCCTCCTGGGAGCCGGTCCGTGTTTTATGTAACAGCCTTACTGAGGTGTAGCTCATGCTGCACACAACCCCTGTTTAGTCCTTGGTTCTCAGTAAAGGCACAGCGCTGTGCAGCCACGCTGTGCGCTGGGTTCCTCTGGCTGCTGATCAGGACTAGAAGTGTCTCAGGCTTGGAGTTGTTTTGGACTGGAGACTGTTTGCACACTCAGGAGGAGATGTCTTGGAGTGGGACCTAACTTTTAAGGTGGAAGTCCTGGACCAATGGGAGTTCTGGTTTTCAGATTTCTGAGGAACTTCCATACTGTTCACAATGGTGGATAAACGAATGTACGTTCCCGTCCTACAATATAAAAAATTATTTATTGCAATACTAGTAATTGAACCCAGGGCCTTTGCACTGAGCTCCACCCCAGCCCTGTTTTCACCTTGAGACCGAATCCATCAGAGGCACAGGGTTGCCCAGGCTGACTCACCATGCAATGTTTTCTACTGGTGTCATTTTTGTGCTTGAAAAGTTTAGGTTTTTGGAGCATTGCACATATTTAGATGAGGAAATGTGCTTAACCTCTACAGTGAATTTTGGAACGTTTTCATCTCCCCAGAAAAGAAACCCTGTACCCTGTAGCGGCCACTCCCAGTTCCCTCTTGTTGCTTCTGTAGCGAGCGCCCCGGGGGCCTGGCTCCTGTCCCTGCAGACCTGCCTGTTCTGCACACTTCCCAGGGTGGCATTGCAAAGCATGTGGCTGTTTGTGCCTGGCGTGTGTCCCTCCAACTGACATTCCTAAGGTTGATCTGTGTTGTAGCGCGGGTCGGTCCAGTGGGTGGACGCGCCAAACCTTATCTGCTCATCAGCTGACAAGCCTTTGCCTTGCGGCCACTTTTTGGCTGTCGGGAGATCAGGAACAGCGCTGCCATGAAAGCATGTTCAGGTTTCTTCTGGACATGTGTTGCTTTTCCTTCGAGTGTTCCTTTAACCTAAGAGCGGGCAGCTCCAGACTTTCCAGCGGTTTGCCACGTCCGATTCCCATGAGGGGTGGTAGGTAGCGAGAGCTCTCTATGTCCTCGCCAACTTCCTGGCAGGATGGGGATCTGTGGAGGTCAGCAAAAGGGCTGTCACTTCGGTAGTGGCCCTGAGTGTCAGCTGGGGTCATTTGCAAGAGCCTCCTGAGCCAGTTTTAAATGACAGACGTGTTCCACTCCCAGGCATCCCCGTACCCACTGTGGGCTGCAGCCCTTGGCGGGAGGGTGGAAGGCACTGTTGTCTCCAGGTGGGAAGTAGCCATTCCGTGTCTCCTCTGCCACCTCCTCCTTTCTCTGCAGGGGTCACCATGAAGCTCATGGACGAGGTGGCCGGGATCGTGGCTGCCCGCCACTGCAAGACCAACATAGTCACGGCTTCTGTGGACGCCATTAATTTTCACGACAAGATCCGGAAAGGTAACAGAACTCTTCTGACAAAGTTAAGGGGGCGAGGGCGTGGCCCCGAGTCTGTGGCCTCTGTTCCTGTTTTTCTCACACCTGGTGTCTACCCGTGTGCCATGGGAAACAGGAAGGGCAAGCTTTGCACGACAGCCTTGCGGGGCGTCGTGAGGCTAGTGTCGATTGGCTTCAGTTTTCAGGCTGGTAAAATACGAAACTCAGAGTGACAGAGGCCATTCTCTTCCTAAAGACCTGCGTGCATTGACCCAGAGGGAGCCCTGTGAAGGTCCCGTGTGCACAGCTGCCACACCTTGGCCACCAGGCCCGAGGCCAGCACATTTCTCTCGGGGAGGAAGATTGTCTGAACTCAGCAGCTCTGCTTGCTTCCCCCTGGGCAGCCTGGCTGTTTGGGGTTTCCCATGGCTAGGCACACCCCGTGGTGCCCCATGCCCACCAGTGCCTCATCGAGAGCTCCCAAGGCCCCGCAGCCAGCCCTGGTGTCCCTCCTGCGGCCACACCTGCAGACCTCACCTGGCCACTCTTGCCGAGTGTGGGACAGAAGCACCGAGGTGGGGGTGTGCAGGGCAGCCACATGGGGAACAGGTTAACCTTACCCCGGGACTTGGGCCTTCAGGGTGAGGGAGACCATCTGCACAGGGCTCCTCTCTCCCGTCCTCCCCTGTCGCTACAGACATGCTCCAGTGTCATTTTTAGAATTTTGCCCCAAGTAAGTGGCCTGGTCTGCATTGCGTGCTCTGAGGGCCAGGTGCAGCATGGCCAGAACCTTTGGGGATGACAATCTGCCATGTCGTGAGTCCGTGCTGCTGTCTTTCTAGAACTCCCGCCTGGGGAAATCACTGCGATTCGAGCCACAGCGTTAAGTACAGGTTCAGAACCCGCAGCGGGGAATGCACTCACGTTGCCCTGTGCCACTGTGCCCCCCTGTCCTCCCCCGGTGTCTGAACCACTGAGCACAGCATGCGCTCCCCGCTTTCTACACCTTAGGCCTGAGGCAGGCGAGGCTGCAGCTCAGCCCGGCACCCATGGGGGACAGTCTTTGCTGGGAATGCGGCAGTGCTGAGGCGGCGGCTCTTCCCCTCTGCTCTCACGGCCAGGATCACAGGGAGGAGGGGTCAGCGCAGGAGGGCTGGGATGGCTCCCGGCACAGGGATCACAGAGCTCGAGGAATCAGGAAGCAACCTGGAAGACATCGGGTGGCTCGGCAGGCACAGGACCCCCTTTCTACAGGAGGCTGTGTCGTCTAGGACACAGCATGGGCCTCTGTTTCCAGAGCTGTGACTCGCAGCAGGGTGGCCTTGGTGGCCTGGCTTCCGTGAGTGGTGGGGGTGCAGGTCACAGAGCCGGTGGCCTGGCCCTGTCACACCTCCTGAAGAGCTGCAGAGCAGAGCCAGGCTGACATGTGGCAGCAGCAGCCCTCCCCCAAGGTCCCTGCCCTGCCGTGGCTGCCACAGCCTCCACCTGGAGAGCCCCAAGGGAGTACGGAGGTGGTGACATCCTATTTGGATGAGAAGGAATTTGGGGCAGACTGAAGTGGCGAAGTGTCCCCGGGGACCGACACACTGTCACACTGTTTGTCCTGTCTAGAAGAATGGCACCTGTGAGGACCCCGCAGTCATGTCAGGGAGCTCCACCAGGAACGTTGTGACGCCTGTCTTGGGTTCTGTGGGGGCACAGGGCACTGTCACCGTAGACAGCGAGATTCCTCCCACGGCTCCTTTGCAGAGCGGGGCGGGTGTGTCCCCTCGGGCTTTGGGCTCCTGGGACACGTGGGGGTGTGAGCAGCGGAGCAGGATGAGGTTGGATCCCAGCTCTGTGCGTCTCAGTTACGTTTCTCCCGTTGCTGAGACAAAATTCCCGACACCCGAAGTTGAAGGGGAAAGGCTCATTTAGCTCACAGTTCCTAGTGGTCTCAGTCCATAGCCATCTGGCTCCAGGGCAGGGTCCATGACAGACAGGCCTTGCAGAGGAGAGACAGCTCATGGCACCCACACGGTAGCGAAAGTAACAAGGGACCTTAGCAGCGTCTTCCTGCCCTGTTTATCTTACCCAGACTACCCGGCATTGGGCAGGGCCGAACCAATCAGTCCACTGGTTTAGTAACACCAGCATCACACACTCTAGACCCAGCTGCCTCTGAAAAAGCCCCTGTGACTGCATGAGGCTTTGAGGGCACAGCTAGACCCAGCCACAACATGTGGCTCTGCTCAGGTCCCCTTAAGCCCTGGAGACGGCTGTGCTGCCCGAGCTGCTGTCCCTGCCCGGCACCCCCCTCGCCTCGTGCTTCAGCTGGATGTGGAGGAGTCCGAGAGGCCAGGCCCCGCCACCCCACAGAGGACACAGCCAGCGCCCTTCCTGCTGGGGTCCTGTGCAGTGGTTTCCCGAAGCTGTTGCCATGCCGACTGTAGGCTGCGAGGCTGAAAAGCACTTTCCTTGTGGAGAAATGGTCTCCCAGGCGGTTAGGGCCCAGGTGGGACTCCTGGGGCGGCTCCCGGAGGTTACGTGAGAAGTGCCCACATCTGTTCCTGTTTCCCACTTGTCTTGAGAGAGCTCCCTGCCACGGCCCCTTAAGGGCAGGCGCTGACCTGTTCTCCACCTCGAGACACTTGGTCCCCTCTCATGCTTGGCAACAGCTTTTTTGTTATTTTGTTTTCTTTTCCTAATCCCTGGCACAGTGCTAAAATCTGGCTGCTGCCACCTGGGAGAGACGCCTGTCTGGGGGCGACAATGGGGCACCTGCCAGCCCCGCTGCTGTGCCACCCAGTCTGGCTTGGAGGCGATGAAAGCAGACGGTGGCTGCCACTCGTGGCTCACCCACAGGTGTTCCCTCCTGCTGATGTCACTGGCTCTGGAGAGGGTGCTGCCCCTCTCCCTCCCGGAAACCGCAGTGGTTGAGGTCCAGGAGGCTGCCAGCGGGCACAGAGCACTGAGCCCAGGGAGGAGCGTCAAGTGAGGCCTGTGGGGCCTGCAGGAGGGACAGCGGTCGTCACTGGGGGCCCTGCCCTGTGTCCTCTCAGCCCCGGCTCGCCCTCTGCTGTTCATGTCCAGGCTGGCTGTCCTGAGCCCCTGGGGTGGGGACTCAGGCTTGGGGGGCCCCCTTCCCTCCTTCCAGGGAGAGGGGGCAGCAGGGTCGAGCCACTGCTCTGAGGTTACACCTGGCTCGAGCCGGGAGGAAGGGAAGTGGGTTTGCAGCAGGCCACGTCCCCAGGCACACCCAGTCCGGGCGTTTCAGCTCCCTCCGGGGCGACAGAGGGCTGGGTCCGCGGGCCTTGAGGCCTGGACTGGTGTCCACCTGGCCGAGGGGTCACTCAGATGGACGAGCTGGCTGGTGGTGGGCAGGAGAGGAAGGTCCAGGAGGTACGCAGTGGAGGCCCCGGACTGGCCTGGGGCAGCATCCCTGAGAAGGGCTACCTGCGCTGTGGCGCAGAGTGGGAAACTGAGGGTCAGGGTGGAGGTATCTGAGGACGAGGTTGGATGCTCAGGGCCCGAAAGCCCCAAGTGCCCTGGTACCTGGGCCTGTGCCCAGGTCTATGCCAGGTCGGGTCCAGCCCCAGCCCCTCCCATGTCCTGCCCAGGGCTCAGGTGGCCCGTGGCTCTGCTCTCTGGGAGAGGGGGAGGCTCGGGCTTTGCTTGTGGCTGGGGATGTCACCACTCATGTCAGGGAGCGTTGTGTTGACATCACGCTCTGCTGCTTGTCGTCTGGCCCAGGCTTGTGGACCAGGCTGTGTGTTCACAGTTAGAAGTGTCTTCAGAGGTCTAGCATAGAAGTGAAACCGGGAGCAGCCAATGTCTTTGCCATGGCAGGCGCTGGCAGGGCAGGGGCCGCTGCAGAAAGGCACATTTTCTGTCATTGTCTGGAAGTCACAGCCGTGTACACAGCCTAGGAACTGCCCTCCCAGCAGCCACCATAGGTGCCCCTCGCCGACCCGCTGGCCCTGGGGAAGTTCTTGCCGGTTGGCTCTTGTGGGAGGGGGGCCCCTGTGTCCTGGCCTGTGACCTCTGGCCCATGGTCATCAGGGACAGGGATGGTTGCTGAGCGCTTGGGGAGCTGCTGCAGAGACCCCGGGGTGACCATCAGGACCCTCTCTAGCCCCTCAGCGGGACACGGCCCAGGGTGTGTGGTCGCTATGTCTGGATGATTGCAGGTGACTGTACCTCCCAGCCCATGCCATGGCACCTGTCACTCACCACATGGCTCTTTCTTTCCCTCCCTCCCAGAAATGGTCGTGTCCAGCACAAAGTGTGTAAGTATGACATCAAGTATGGCGTGGGACATTCTGGAACATTTGTATTAGAGTAGCCTGCGCTGACCCTCTCTCTGTCTCTCTGTCTCTCTCTCTGGGTCTCTGAACATGTCAGTGACACTAGTGTGTCAGAGGGCCCAGCCAGGACCAGTTCCTGCTGAGCAGATCTCCCTGGCAGCACCGGAGGGGTGGGGGTGCCCTGGTCACAGGTCAGTGACATCGATGGTGGCCGTGATGATGTCTGTGGACCAAGCCCTGCCCTGGGCTTACTCCCTTCCTCCTGTGGCTACCTGAGAGAAAGGTTGTGTGAGTCTGCCTGTCTGAGGAGGAGAGCCCCGCTCTGAGAGATGAGAGTGTGGAGGGAAGGAAGGGCCGAGGCCAGGCTCACGGGTCGTGCCCCGCACGGTGCGGGGCCGGAAGGGAAGCTTCAAAAGCAGTGACCAGGGTGGAGCAGAGAGGCTGCCTGGGGTCACTGGGGAGAGGGAGCAGTGACTGGGTTTGTTGTGATCACGTGGTGCCATACTGGCATGGGAAGCGCTGAGGCTGAGGGGCCCTGGCACAGTGACAGCTCTGAGGACGAAGCTTCAGCAGTCACGGTGACCCTGGCGAGGGTGGGCTAGGGCTGAGTGGGCTGAAGCCCAGCGTGGCTCATGACGGGCCTAGGACCCCAGTCAGCCCAACAGGGACCAGAGTTGGTCCAGCAAGAGGAGAGTGACATTCCAGAAGGTTCACAGGGTGCTTGGAGCAGTGTGATGGGGCCACTGTGTGGCCAGTGGCGCAGGAAGGCCACAGAGAAGACTGGATGAAGGTCGCTGACCATCCCCCGGGGAGGAGCCAGGCCCTCACACCCGAGCCCGGCCAGGATGGTTCCTATGTGGTTGGCGACATCCAAAGGCCACCAGGATCCAGAGGACAGCACAGGGAGATAGCACACCTGGGCTATAATGCTGCGTCTGACCGTGTTGTCTAAGCCTGGTCGCTGGTGCGGCCTGTGTCACCTGACCGTGCCTTTGGCTGTCCTCCATAACACTGGTCTCGCCCCACCCTGCCCTGCCCAGCTGCCAAGCCGAGTCAGCGCCTGCTCCCTCACGTCCACTCCTGTGCCCCGCAGGCTGTGTCATCACCATCTCGGGCCGCATGACCTTCACAAGCAACAAGTCCATGGAGATCGAGGTGCTGGTGGATGCCGACCCCGTGGTGGACAACTTGCAGAAGCGCTACCGGGCCGCCAGCGCCTTCTTCACCTACGTGTCGCTGAGCCAGGAGGGCAAGCCGCTGCCTGTGCCGCAGCTGGTGGTGAGTGCGTGGGTTGCTGTCCTCTGGGTCGGAGCAGGGCCCTGGCCTGGCCCCTGCCCAGACTGCGAGCTGGGGCTGTGGGGAGGTCTGAGAGGTCTCAGGGAGCAGTGCTGGCTACGCTATGGGGTGGCCATGGGGACAGAGGGCACAGCAGCGCCCGCTGAGGGCCAGGTCTCCTGTGAACACAGTACCTGGGGTCCTGGGGTCGTTCGTGTGCTAAGTGGGGTGAGAACTGTGCCCATGTACCCGACTCTCCAACCCCTGCTGAGGGCCCACTTCTGAGGTGGCCTTGGTCTGCGTGTCCTGCCTGATGGGGACCAAGCCAGAGCCCTGGACTGTGGGTGGGGTCTGGGCTTCCTGGGGTTTCTCTACCTCAGACCTCTGGGTGTGGCTGTGTCCTGGGTCCGCAGGGCGGCAGGGTGGGTGTGCAGCGTCCGTGTGTCCCTCGCAGGGGCCGCAGGCCTACACAGTCACGGGCACTGAGGATAGATAGAGCATCCCAGGGATGGGACCTGCGTCCTGTCGGTGCCTGTCACTCAGGAGAGGGCTCTTTTGGGACCAAACCGGGCGAGCAGGCAGAAGCAGGGCACCTGGCAAGGTGGAAATCCGCCTGTCCTGTCTGTGTCGGGTGACAGGGAAGTGTCCTGTTCTCTGAGACTGGGATGCAGCCATTGCTTCCTCCTGCCAGTGGCCCTGGCTCCTGTGTCCGTGCATTTCTCGGTCAGGGCCAGGGTCCCCTCCCCGTCCCTCCTTCTGCCTGGCTCTCAGGCCCACCTCTGAGCTCCTGGCCCTCTTCCTCCTCTCTGCTCGCCTCGGCCTTGCCTGGGGACTGGTGAGTCAGGCTGGTCCCGAGTCCTCATACGGTCCTGCCCCCGCCCCCCAACACTGCCAGCGTGACCTCCCCGCGGTGCCATGGGTGGAAGGAAGGGCTGACAGTGAGCCTGGACTGAGGCTGAGGAGGACTCAGCCAGGCGGGCCGCTGGGACAGCACCTCGGCCACTTGGGCTTGAGGGGCAGCCCACTGTCAGGCTGGGAAGACCTTGTGCCCTGCTTCTCTGCGCCCCCAGTCGTGCCCTGGACTGTGCCCCTCTGGAGGCTGAAGCCCAGCCAGTGGTCCTTGCAGAGCCCACACGGGACAGGCAGTGTCTGTCCCACATCTGCCCGTGACAGCTGGCCTCCTTGGCCTCCTCCTTGGAGCCCACACCTGGCTCTCAGCCCCCAGTGCAGACTCCTGGTGCCCCTACCTGGGCAGCCCCTGGCTTCCCCTTCCCACTGGCTGGACCCCGGCTCACTCGCCTTGGATGCAAAGCGTGGCCGACCCAAGAGCTTCTATTTCTGGAGACCTGGGTCCCAGGTCATACGGCTCCCGGCTGCTATTTTCGTTCATTAAAGATGGTCTTTGATTCCTCCTGGAGGTGCCCTGGGACCCACCGATGCTGATAAAAATAGATCTGGCAGGGAGGGCAGGGCAGACTCCCCAGAGAGGGCTGCTCGGCTGTATCCCGGCCTCTGTGGCACCCGCTTGGGGACCACGGCCGTGAGCACAGGCTGGCTGCACGTGGCTACAGGGGTGCGCATGCCACTGCTCCCACACCCCCCCCGCCGGCGAGCCTTCATCCTCTATTTTTAGCTTGCTCCCCAGGGCCCGGCTGGCTGACATGGAATGCAGCCTCAGTGCTTTGTTTCTTGATGAATATTTGATGCGGGCTGGGGCTGCACACCACGTTCCCCAGCAGCGCGGCACTTTCCGTGCCGAGGGTTGGAATTGGCCCCGTGTGCAGGACACCAGGCTGTGGGTGTGGATTCTAGGCCTCCTTGTGGCAGTACTCTGGGGTGGGGGGGGCAGGCCCCTGACCGCTCAGCAGCGCTGGGAAGGGGGCATGTTGGAAGGCTGGCAGGGACTCCGCCTCTGGTGGCACAGGACCCGCGGTTCCCTGGGCACTGACCGCCAGGCCCTCCCACAGGTGGCCTTTCCTGGCTGGGGTGGGGAGCATTTCCTGTGTTCAGGAAACCAGACTGCGCATGCGTTGGGGCCAAACAACCCTCAGGCCCCTTGTGTGGGCAGCGCTTGCCCCCAGTTAGCCCAGATGAGTATGCTGTCGCCCCGAGGACCCCAGGGTGGCCCGTGGCATCAGCCTGGGTCTGAGAATGCCAGAGCCCAGCAGAGCCACAGCAGGAGTATCTACCCTGGGGCCAGGGCGCCCATCACGGGGCTGGGGCATGGGGGAGGGTGGAGTGGGGCACCCCAACATGCCCAGTCATTGGCCATGGACTGACAGGGTGCATCTCGAGGTTGGAGTAGAGCAGGGTACAGTGAATGTCACCTGTCTTCTCAGCTGTAAGTTGTGTCCCGGGGCAGCACTGAAGGTGGCGACGGCCTTGTCTGCCCACCCCCAGCCCAAGGGGGAGGGTGGTGCCTGCCAGCCCCGTGCTATGCTCCGGCCACTCCTGTCTCCCGGGACCTGGGCGCAGGGTCAGAGGAGGCTTCCTGGAAGGGGTAGGCGTGCTGGGGTCCTGTGCCGGCCATGGGGAGCTGAAGCCCTCGCTTGGCCCTCGTGGTTCCCCCTGTCCGTGTGGTGTGTGTGGAGTAGGATGGGGGTGACCGGTTGCCAGGGTGACACATCAGGCCAGCTCTGGCGCTGTCCCATCCCCCACCCCAGGAGAGGGTGGCTCCCTGCAGGTGTGGCCTGAGGTGGCCTGAGCCCTGGGGGATTGTCTGAGGCGCAATTCAAGCCAGGTCTGGGCAGGGCCGCACCTGCGTCAGCCCCTGCCCGCTGCTCTGCTTTGCTCAGTCTGGGCTTTGGTGCCGTCCCTGCGTGATCCCGGGAAGCACCAGTGTGGCACGGAGGCCCCAGTGCCTCCGTGCTGAGGCAGGGCACAGGGTCAGCTTTCCGTACCAGCCAGCTCCCTGCTCCCCGGAACCTCAGCCCCACCCTGGGCACAGGCACAGAAGGGTCAGGCATCCTCCCGTGGGCCACTTCCTCTCCAGCAGAAGTGGCCGCCACTTTCCTGCCCACGGCCCAGCAGGATGGAGAGGGAGGCTGCCTCCGTGGTGTGGCTGTGGACGTAGGAAGGAAGGCACGCCGACCTGGGGAGGTGCTTCGGGTCCTGGACAGTCAGTCAAGCCACAGACTTGCAGGCTGAGGCGCCACACCCCGCCCCAGGGAGTTTTGTGACCAAAAGAGCTGTCAGGCGCTCTGTGGCCTCTGCCCAGGATGGGACGTCATTGCCATTCTTATCCCTCTGCCGCCCCAGAGCTTTCTGTCGGCCTCCTTCATTATGTGCTGGGCCTAGAGTCTGGAGTGATGCTTATTGCTGGCCGATGCCCGAGTTCAGGTTCCTGAAGGGCAACAGGCTGGCGCCTGTCCCGGCAGGGCTGGGCACCACGCATGTGCCAGCCTCACCTGGGGGCGAGTCACAGTGTTTCTGGAGGGCGAATCCCGGAGCTGCCCCGCCAGGTGCTTGCTTGGTGCTCAGGGACTTGCAATGAGTGTGGGGTCCCCCAGAGCCAAGTCAGCGGGGGTGAGAGGGAGCCCACCCTGCCGGGCCCTCAGCAGCCCAGGCTTTTTCCCAGCTGCCTCTGCCTTGCTGCCTGCCAAGGTCCACCAAGCTGCACACTGTCTCCCCATAGCGCTGGAGCGCGGGGTCTGCCCAGCCCCACAGTCCACGAGAGGCACTGGCTCAGGTGCAAGGGAGGTGGAGAGGTTCCAGCGATTCCACTGGGCCACTGAGGAAGGGGAGTGAGGACAGCAGGGGAGCCCAGCAAGGCCCAGGCACAGGACTGTGGTTGGCAGCAGAGCAGGCACAACTGCTGCAAGCTGGGAAGAAGAGGGGCCACCCAGCCCTGGGCACCTGAGCACCAGGCCCTTCCTTGGCTCGGTGCTTTGCCCACAAGGAGCAAGGGTAGAAACCCGAAGAGGCTGGATGCACTTCTGAGCCGTGTTTAAGGGTGCAGCAGCCCTCCCCCTCGTGTGTGTGTGTGCACACACGGAATCACTGACAGGCACTGCGGCCAGCAGCAGAGCTCTGGCTTTGGGCAGTGGTGTCTCAGTGTACTTCAGGCACCACTGCAGCCCTGCCGGGCCCTCTGGAGCAGCTGGGGACGGGTGGAGCAGTGTTTGTGGAGCAGAGCCCCCGGTGGACTCTAGCATGTGGGCCTCACCTGTGTGAAGTTCAGGCTTCCTGTTTGGATCATTCACTCATTGGACAAAGGGCCCTCTGTCCCAGGCCCGGTGCTGGCCTCTGACCACAGCAAGGACTGCAGGGCACAGACGGACCAAGGCCGTGGTGAGAGCGTGGCCCGGTGGCCCCCACTGGTGGCAAGCACTTGGCAGGCAGCGATTACAATCTTTCTATTTTTGGTGATCCTGGGGATTGAATCCAGGGTCTTTGCACTACATCCCCAGCCCTTTGTTTATTTTTGAGTCAGTAACACGCTAGCCCAGACTGAGCTCAGACTTGTGGTCCTCCTGCCTCTGCCTCCCCAAGTGCTGAGAGTACAGGTGTGCTCTGCCAGGTAGGGCTAGTGGGCCTGACAAGCCCCAGTCTGCAGGCGACACTGTCCCCACCACCAGGCCTGAGCTAACTGCTCTCCACCCTTTGCTGCACCAGCCCCACCTCTGCCAGCTGCCTTTGCCCTTCCATGTGGGACTTTTGCATCCACTGTTTCTTTTTGGTACCGGGGATCGAACTCGGGACCTTGTGCTTGCGAGGCAGGCAGAGGCACCACTGAGCTACTTCCCGGGCCTCCATCTGGGACTCCTTCCTGCCTGCGCGTGGGAGCATTTTCTTCAGGGTCAAGGCAGGGACCGCCCGCCGAGGGTGGACAGGTGTTCACGCTCGCTGAAGTGCTCTTGTTGCTTGAGACTTCTGGCCCTTTCCCCCAGAGGCTGCCTGGAGATCTGGATGGGCACAGTCCAGGTGGGCCAGCCCCTGGGGAGGCCTGGCAGGTGAGGCTCTGTGCCCTGCTGCCAGGCTTACCGTGGCCTGGACCGATCGGC